ACATGGGTCTAGCCCAACAAACTACTGTTTATTCTTACTCAAACACATTCACATAGATGGAGACCATCCCTCCAACTGTCCTGCCACTTGCTATACATAATGTGGTCCAACATCACAGGGTGTCTGCTACAGCACTAGTTACCACGGTAACAGCCATCTTGTTCAGGTCATTGACCTGATTTGTTTGGAACGAGGAAGACCAAACGAAGCAAAAACAATATGTTTTCCTTCTGCGAGGGTACTGTAATTCCTGATTTTTCACGATACTTTTATGTTCTCGTTTTTCATGGTCACTTCTGTACCACGAACTAATCATTACCATGAATAATTAACTGACTTCTTTTTTTCTGCACCTGCCGCCACCGTGAACAAATAGTTCTGTGAAAACCTTCATTTTCCATTTTTCTCAGACCCCGAACTTTTGCTACCATAACGTGAAAAAAAACAGACCCCGGGAAGACCACCCAAGAGGTGGAAAGACCAGATACAAACAGACACAGGGCCCACCCTAAGGGAAACTGAGACTCTGACCTTGGACAGAGCTGACTGGAGAAACCAAACGAGGGGGAACAAGGGGCCAGGCCTGAGCACTTAGACAGGCAGGCAGGCAACATGAAGTGAAATGCAGTACAGTGTTCTAGCCAGGATTTTTTCATAGCATAGGGGTCAGGTACAGAAGAGCAACTTTCGTGGCACAAATCATGCATTGAGCCAAAAAATTTTGAAACTCAATTAATCCCGAGACACTATTTCTTGTTAAATGTGGAACAGATTTTGTGAAGTTTAGGTTTTCCCTTTGCTATAGCTTCATTCTAAAGTTATATTTTCATTTTTTGAAGGTTCTTCCTCCCAAAACACCCCTATGCTGGTTGAAACTTAGCATAGGGGTCAAAATTATAGCATAGGGGTTAAAATCATAGCATAGGGGGCCCCTATGCTAAAAAGGCCTGGCGAGAACACTGCAGTAAACATAATGAAAAGTTATGACATTGAAGGAGCCTGACCTGTTCCACGTCCAGTTTGCCCTCCTCCATGTACTGCTGGTAAAGCTCCTCGATCAGGAACTTCCTGTTGATGAACTTGGCCTTGGACCACATCCAGACCTGTGCAACAAACAAGCATCAACGTCATGGCTGTATCTGTATCTGTATCGGTATAGCCGGTATACCCGCCCTTCAGCGTAACACATCAGCTTCTGTATCTGTATAGCCGGAATAACCGCCCTTCGACATAACACACCAGCTTCTGTATCTGTATAGCCGGTATAACCGCCCTTCAGTGTAACACACCAGCTTCTGTATCTGTATAGTCGGTATAACCGCCCTTCGGCGTAACACACCAGCTTAAAGGCTGGTAGAATAAAGACGAGGATATACAATACTTGTAGCTAAATTCAAGCTGGTTCGTTAGTGTGTATATATAAACTTGGTTCTTTAGTATGCATACCTGCAGTGGTTACTTAGTGAACATACCTAACAAACCTTGGACCACATCCATACATGTACCTGCAAACATGCATCAACGTCACGGCTGGTAGGATGAAGAGGAACTTAGATGACAATATAAACGTAAATACCCCACCGTGTTGTATTTTATTCATGTCATACCCACATTAGTTAATGAACATATATGGTTAGATAAGTTAATGACCATACCTGGTGAGTTAATGGTTAGTTAATGACCATACCTGGTGAGTTAATGAGTTAATGAACATACCTTGTTAGTTAATGGTTAGTTAATGAACATACCTAGTTAGTTAATGGTTAGTTAATGACCATACCTAGTTAGCTAATGGTTAGTTAATGAACATACCTAGTTAGTTAATGGTTAGTTAATGACCATACCGTGTTAGTTAATCGTTAGTTAATGAACATACCTAGTTAGTTAATGGTTAGTTAATGACCATACCTAGTTAGTTAATGGTTAGCTAATGACCACACCTGGTTAGTTAATGGTTAGTTAATGAACATACCTAGTTAGTTAATGGTTAGTTAATGACCATACCGTGTTAGTTAATCGTTAGTTAATGAACATACCTAGTTAGTTAATGGTTAGTTAATGACCATACCTAGTTAGTTAATGGTTAGTTAATGACCACACCTGGTTAGTTAATGGTTAGTTAATGAACATACCTTGTTAGTTAATGGTTAGTTAATGACCATATCTGGTTAGTTAATGGTTAGCTAATGACCATACCTAGTTAGTTAATGGTTAGTTAATGACCATACCTGGTTAGTTAATGAGTTAATAAACGTACCTTGTTAGTTTATGAGTTAATAAACATACCTTGTTAGTTAATGGTTAGTTAATGACCATGCCTGGTTAGTTAACGAGTTAATGACCATACCTGGTTGGTTAGTGTGTTGGTGACCAGCACCTCCACTTCCATCTCCTTGTTGTTGCCAAGTGAATCGTGGGAAGCCAGATTCTTGATGATTGGCTGAAATGTCATGGCCTAGAAGGGAAAGTAACATACAGTGTGATCATTGTCTGACATGTCAACTCTTAAATACGTGATATACATTTGTACATATAAAAACTATTTCATAAGAGTCAACATAAAGATATAACCATCAAATAAATGTTTCTGGTTGGCGATTTGATAAAGACACGTTTTAAAAACCGTTAAATTGTAAAAGGACCAAAGTCATAATGGCTCGATATGAGTTTGGTCAGTTCTTTTCCCAATGAGTTGAACACTAGTCTGTAAGTTTTTGTAAACTCTGGTACAACACCACAAATCCTCTCTACACAACACATTACATGTAGGTCAGTCCCTCACTCTACTGTTACAGAAGTGCCCTCTGTCACATCTTGTAGGCACTGCAGGTTAAATAGCAGTAGAAAGTCCACACCTTGTTGTCATGAAAGTTCATCTGTGTTGGTCGTAATCATAGTAAAATGTTGAACTTTATTCAAACACAAGGGTTACACAGAGATCAAATTTTCAACAATCACTGTCGCCTTCATCAGCATAATTAATGACCCATCACTTCCGAACAATTAGGTTATTTGCCTGTAACCGTACCTCTCACAAGTTTACGTTCGGAAGTCAACTTTCAACTTTATTTGTTCAACCAGGTATCATACTCAGGCCACTCTGGCCTGTTTTTCAGGAAATCCTGGTACAAAAGCACAGACAAACACCTAACAGTTAAACAGATTCACAATACATACAAAGTCTAAAGATAGCACATAGATAAAACTAATCTTAAATACAATTCGATAAAAACTGTTTAAAAGTTCTGAGACTAGGCTGCTGTCGTTGTTGTAGGGGGAGTGAGTTCCAGAGATAAGGTCCATAGTACTGTAAGCTGTTCCTAGTCATTAGTGAAGTGATTAGTCATTATCTATCCAGATGAAAGTCTTTGAAAATTTGATCTCTGTGTAACCCTTGTGTTGGAATAGAGTTCAACATCTGGAACGCGAGTAACTCGCTCAACCACAAGTGGGCACCCATACCTTGTTTAAGTGCCAAAATCCAACACTCAGCTTCACATGTATTCCATGCATTCAAGTACCAGAGTTATCAACCAAGAATTGAGGTGTTCAAGAATTCATTCTTTCCTAGAACTATCGCAGAGTGGAACTCACTGTCACCAAGTTCAGTAGGGGCATTGTCAATAGATAGCTTTAAACAATGTCTAGAGCTAGAAGTTCAAGGGTTAGGTGTAACAAGTCGATCGGTGTAATATAGCCAGCTACCGCCGCACCGCGTGCCTGCGAAGCTGGTGTGTTACGCCGAAAGGCGGTTATACTGGCTATACAGATACAGATACATGTCTTCATATGTACCAAGGACTAGCAGGCTGTGGAACTCCTTACCAGCCTCGGTCTTCCCTGACAGTCCCAATATGACTAAGTTCAAGACTGCTGTAAACAGTTTCTTGTTGAACTCTTAGAGATTTTCTAATTTATGACAATTAACTATGTACCTTGCAATTATGTATTATGTATAATGCATCTGATAATTTTGGGATTGAATGTGACTGTGCACTTAAGCGAGGGGAATTGATGTGACATTATATAGAACCGAAAATCATCGATATATAGCGATGTTAAGACCAGGTTCACTTTGCACTGATTAGAAAAAAAACAAAAACATTTTACTATCCTCACCTTATACTATCATGAAAGTTCATCTCTGTTGGTAGTTACATGTTTAAAGTTAAAACTTTTGGTCCAACACACAAAATTCTCTCACCTAGAGCTTTCGACCAGTCACTCTGGTCTTCCTCAGTAACTGGTAGACGATGTCGGCCCCCTTTGACCCAGTGTTGACATCACACTTCAAAGAAGCCGCGTGACAAGCTTCACTGGGTCAGTCTACTGAGGAAGACCAGAGTGACTGGTCGAAAGCTCTAGGTGAGAGAAATTTGTGTGTTGGACCAAAAGTTTTAACTTTAAACATGTCCTCACCTTGTTCATGTCCTTGCTCATGGCGTTGACCTCGTCCACCTTGGGCATCAGCTGCACAAAGTCCTGGAACACCAGTTTGTCCATCGCCTCATTCGCCCCTTCCCCCAGCCGTGGGGTGCCCAGCAGGTCCGTCATGCCCTGTGGGATAGACAGAGTCATTCATTTATTTCATTTATTTCGAAGCCTTTTAGCCCTACAGGGCTAGTCTTCCAAGGCTCAAACATTAAAATTACATAATCACATACATGGAAATTACAGTGAAAGAACAGTGAATACATTTGAAAAGACATGATCATGAATACATGAGAACATCAACAAGAAACACGCGAATTGATATTTACAAATTAAAAACTAGAGGTAGAGGTTCATGTAACACTGTTTACGATAGCTTTTTTGAACCTGAGTTGGTTACTCAGTGTTTTAACATGATATGGTAGATTGTTCTAACTTCCACAGCAATATTGCACGATACAGGAATGAGCGTTTCTTACTGTTCGTCTTAGGTTTGGGTAGTCTGAAGTTGTTATGTACAGAAGAGTCAAGATTTATCGATATCCAAGCAATTACAGATTGCGTTTGTGCGCAGAGTTTTAGACATAATACAGGGTTTCAGACCAAATAATACAGGGTTGTTGTTCCCTGTGGAACAGCCACAGTCACGAACACGAACATGAATTGTGTGTTTTAGACCCAATACAAGAGCAAAATTTTGGGAACTTTCATTCACCAATTTCACACTTCCCGCAATGCCTAGTAAAGATCACGGATATGGATGGGATATGATGTAAGAAGTGATGTGACAGTGCCAGTAGGAGAGTCTTCGGTAGAAGGTAGAACGATAGAAGGTACGTCATTTTCTCTGATTCCAACAAAAATGCAATTATGACATGCGCTTTATACTAGATAAATAATTCAATATAGTTCACCAGTTTGTAGATAGAAGTTGTTGGAAATATTACATCGAGGAAGGGGGAGGGGGTTAGTCATACGTCATATCCGTGATCTTTACTAGGCATTATGGGAAGTGTGAAATTGGTGAATGGCCAAAAACACACCTGGCTCTGAGCGAGTTCCTGCTGGAAGAAGTCGTAGCTGTACTCCTTCGTGTCCCCCTGGCTGGCTCTGTCCGCCGGGTACCCCACGTACAGGAACAGGCAGTTCGAACCCAGCATCAAACGGTCCTGGGGAGAACATTATAATAGAATAAATAATAAATAAAATACATGTAATAACGTTCATTGTACATTCATGCCCTATCGGGCTAAGTACAGGTGAACAGATGAAAGGGTAATATACATGTTTGTAGTACAAATAAAACTGTAACAATAATACAAAGGTTCAGCTTCTTCTTGTTTCTTAGTGATGTCAAAAATATCATTTGAAATGGGTTTGTTCAATACAGGATGATCAAAGCGCATAAGAAAGATGAATTTTTTCAATATTAGTCTAGTATTGGAAGTATGGAAACGTACTTGTAATATATCTAAAAAGATCATTTCTATCATTAGGCCACACCAATTTAATTTGTTGGTTCTCGGATTTTTTCAGAAAAAATATGAAGCGACAGGGCGAAAAAAAATAAAAATAAAAACAGGTCTAGGCATCCTATTATAGGCTTAAATGCTACAAAATGAGCCATGAAGTCAACACAAAAGGCTGGGTTAAAATTTAAACATTGAATTTTGAACTTTTAATCAAACCACTGCAATGATAGATGGGAAAACTGTAACAACTAGGAAGAAAAGGACTTTCCTCAACTGTTGGGGGCAAAACATGAGCATTTTTCAGTTGATTCAGGACCAGAATCAAATTTTTTTTTTTTTTTGCAAATCAGAAAAAAAGAAGAGGCGAATCCGAGAACCAACAAATTAAATTGGTGTGGCCTTACTATATAAATTACAATCAACGACAAAGTGGACTTCATCTTCTACTTTGTTTGATATAACAACAAGGGTTAGACATTCAGGTAATGAGAAACAGAAGGAAATTGTCAATGGACAGGTTGTACAGTCTGTTAATCAGTGCTTTCTTTGGGGACCCTGATTCCACCAGAGTTTCTTAAAGACCTAAAAATGGACTGACATTAGAGATGCATACCTAAACCCAATTTTAGGTTCAGGTCTGGATTCAAGTCCAGAGGTTTAGGTTCAGGTACGGACTTGTAAGTCCTGACCTAAACCCATGGCATATACAAAATTGCATGTTGGCAACCTTGCAATGTTGTCTGGGTGAAACTTTGGCCACATAACATGGAGGCCGGTACTTGACGATGCCCGATGGCAATGTTTTCTTCATTTTGCAATATACTTCACTTTACAATCTACGGAAGGTTTTAGGTGGTTTGGAAAGAAAAGGGGTATGTGAAATGGTCTATTATGGCAATAAGTCCGGACTTTTTGGACTTGAACCTAAACATTCTTACAAGTCCGGATCCAAGTCCAGTGAACCGGTATGCATCACTAACTGACAAGCAACTGGATAGGTCTTGAAACTGTCAATAAGCAGCCACTACTTTTTTTTCTTTTCGTCAGCAACTGACTGTTCATCAGGAGTACAGTCAATGACGAAAAGTAGTGAAACATGCTACTTGAAACATCTGATAGTTTTCAACCATGTTCTGATTGGTGGAAATTTCAAATGAAATCAAGCTGAACCAATGAAAAACACTGTGACAGTGTTCATGACCCACCAGGACCAATGAAAAGCGCTGTCACAAATGGACCAATGAACATTCAGGACAAACCATGTTTCTGATTGGTGGAAACTTCAAATAACATCAATCTGGACCAATGAAAAACACTGTTCGTAACAATGTTCATCGATAAGCACTCTGTTGCTAATGCTGTTTCATGTACAACAGCTTCTCACCGAACTGTCTTTACTGCATAATGTAACGTTTTGAAACATGCATATTGACTGTCAAACCATTTACTAAAGCAGAGGAATATTTCATGATTATATACATTTTAACAATATGTTATAGTATGCAATAATGTTTTAACAATAATACCCATATTTCAATGATATTTTGTGTGACCACAGAGCAATTCAGGCATCCAGTATGGTTGGCCTGCGAGTCTGTCGTCAGTGCGAAGTGTGTATGTCTTGAGTTTCAAATTGAAATAAACCATTCTACTACCCACCATGTGTTGAAGGGGTGTTTTCACCATGATCTGTTGTCCGTTGATGACCACCTTGGCGTCAGGCGAGACGGGTTCTATGGACATCTCTGCTCCACTGTTACTCAGGACCGCGTGGCACGCCAAGATCCTGCAGGAGACAACATGAGTGATCCCTGTTTTTGTCCATATCTTACTTTACTTTACTTTAGGCCACACCAATTTAATTTGTTGTTTCTCGGAATCGCCCTGTCCATCTTTTTCTGATTTGCAAAAAAAAATTTTTTTTGTTCTAAATCAACTGCAAAATGCTTGATGAAAGAAAACGCAATGCAATTTTGTTTCATTAAAAGTTCAAAATCTATTGTTCTAATTACAAACCAGCCTGGTGTGTTCACAGCATGGCTCATATTCTAACATTTCCGGCTATCATGGGGTGCCTTGGCCTGTTTTTTTTTTGCCCTGTCGCTTCATATTTTTTCTTAAAAAATCCGAGAAGCAACAAATTAAATTGGTGTGGCCTTATATCCTTCCACTTCTACCGTCTGGGGTGTCGTGGGGAGGGACAGTTGGCGGCTGGCGGCTAGTCTGGAGGCTGTTGCTATAGGCATGCCGTACCTACACATGTAGTCAGGGTGTCCTTCACACTCTCAATCCTAGCCTGGTATCCAGTCTTACGTGATTGGGGGTGTTGGGGTGTTCGTTTGTGCCTTCGGGGGCTCTAATAGCTTCCCCCGCCCAGTGCAACAGACCGTCCCGGTAGGAGGGTTACGCTAATCAGAGACAGTATGCTTGGGGATTTAGTTTCCCCCCAACACGAGGAGGGCTAATCAATCTCTTGTGAAATACACACTGCGGGACAGAGCTCTTTCGGCCCCAACCACGATCAGACTGGATACCAGGCTATCTCTATCCACCTCTTCCTGGGACGTCCCCTGGCCGTAGATCCAGCCTTTCTGTTGTTGTGTGCTCTGTGTGGTACTTTCTGTGGTACCCTTACTCCTTTGTCTACATCATGTGGTAGTATCCAGTCTTCGATTATATCACGTACATGCAAATTTGTATGAAGATATATTATGCAAATTACCAGTAGGCAAATCACCCAACTGTAGTTACCTTCTTTTTGCCTACCATTTGCTGGCCATTTTTTGGACCTAAGACTTTTTGGACCTAAGACATTTGCTGGCCATTTTTTGGACCTAAGACTTATTTTAGTGTTACCATTGTCCGTCGGTATTGTTATCTGAAATGTTATTTGCACTTGTAAACGTTTACTGACAATATTTTATGTACATTTAATGTAATGGTTTATTACTATTTTAAATTGTTTAATATGACGTTTTATACAGTAACCGTTTGCTGTTTATGTAATGTCCCCATGTCAATTCAGCCTCTGGCTGCCATTTTTGGGACAGTGTTGTTGTGTTTTTTATGCAAATAAACCATTGATAATGATATAGCCATGACGTCCCGACGATTGCTCACATAATTCGTATACCGTGATGTGCTTTGCCTTGCTTTAGGCCACACCGATTTTATTTTATGGATGACTAGTGCGCGCGGGCGAATAAAAAAAATTCCTGCCAAAAAAAAAAAAAATGCTACTAAACCACAGCAATACAAATCTGGTATTGTGAATTTACGATGTAAATAGTACATAGCGACGTATACGACAAGCCGGCACAATTTATGAATCGGCACTGTACTTATGTACTGAGTTCTTGAGTCGTGGAGCTTCGGCAGCCTGGGTGCCGTCCTCAAGAGTTACCACCGGCTCCGTCAGTAGCTACAATGGACTGCCCAGATCTAGAGGAGCCATGTAAATTTTTTTTTTTTTTTGACAACAGGCGAAAATCAATGCGCGCAGATGTCATCTATAAAATTATGTCTGTGTGGCCTTTTCTAGTGATTCTGACAAGGTAAGAATACAAAGATTGTCCTCTCAAGTCAAATTTCAAAAGATATTTTCACCAGAATGAAGCACTTACCCAAGTCCTCTGATGAAGATACTGTTGCCTGTTTCAGACTTTGAATTCCCCAAGTAGTTGTTTCCTGTTGGGAGAGGGGGGTGGAGAGATAGAAACAGCTGTTAGTTGCATGTACATCTGATGCAGCAAGATGGGCACAAGTTTGCTGCAAAATGCTATGACCATCACAGACTACAGAATATTTAACAACATGTCAAGCTGGTGTGTCAAAGAGCTGTTATGGTGGCCATACCGATATAAAAACAAAAAACATATTAAAAATTCTATTTGATACAGGAACATCTATATTGTATAACATGTTAAAATTCAATATAGTAAATATATTAATAATTCAACAATCTCTTTAATAGTAATACAGGAACATTTAGTACATATTATACAGAAGTAATGAACTCTGGTGATAAAGCAGAAAACATAGAGAGACCATCCAGAATGTTCCTACATTATTTATAGCTAAAATTTACAGCTCTCCTGCCCGAAGCAAGCGGGTACTGCAGGAGGATAAACATAAAACATAAAAAACTATATCTGTCATGGTGGTAAAGTTGCTGGGAGACAAACATAAAGGCTGAAGATTAGCAGGCTTAACTTGGAATGCCCCTTCAGCCTTTCAGCTGTAAACAGATCAGAGTAAATTACGCCATTTTTTTTACAATATCAGGGCTCGAAATACTGGGTGTATACATGTATATGCACCTTTAGTGCAGGTAAAGTTGGGGCTGTGCAGGTATTTCTGATGTCTACCTGCACCTAACCTGCACTGGTCCATGTACTGGGTATATGCAGGTTAGTGCAGGTAAAGTTGGAGCTGTGCAGGTACTTCTGATGTCTGCCTGCACTGGTCCATGTACTTATTATACAAAAGTAAGTGTACGTGGATTCTTATTTGCTGCATTGACTGTTTCCACCTAAATAGTGGCAATGGTTTCTGAGCAATTACTCAATTAGTTTGAAGTTTATTTCATACTACAGCCTTATAGCAGCCTAAAGGCTGAATTGACAGGTCTGTTTACATACAGTGTATATACAATAAATAATTACATTAAAGATGTCTAAGTGTGCTTAATAAGACGCATTAAAATTTAAAAAGCCTATAGATATTTAAAAAGTTTGTAAGCGATATATACATATGAGGAAATTAACTATTTTGTAGAATGCTAAGCGAGTAATGAAAAAGTCGTGAATTACAACAAAAGGTTCACGGGTAGGCATAAAATAGTCGGTTAACAGGGATCATTGTAAGAATAAAATGACGATGTAATAGTGAGACTAACAATACAAGGCTCTAACTTTATAACTTGTGTCCATTCAAGATTCGTTGTTTAAAAGTTCGATCAAGTAGGGCAATGGTGAGTTTTTGTAGCGCTCCGTGCGACAGTATGGTGTGTCAATCTTGTGAGAGTTGCGAGTTTGCCGTCCGGACACATCACGCCTGGTCGGGGGTAACCAGTTCCTGAACTCTGAGTTCAACAGGGATGTGGCGAATGACCGACAGAGGCTTTATAGTGTGAGCAGTTTTTATAGTGTGATCCATACTTCTCAAAGTCTGAGAGGTGCAGGTAAAATTTGTCTGGTGCAGGTAATTTTCAATGTTGCCTGCACTGGTATTTCAAGCCCTGATTAAAAGTGATCTCCATCCAGTTTAGCTCATTGAAGAGCTAATCTTCCACAGATGCTATGTACAGTATTTACAGGTTCATTGTACCAGGGAAATTTCCCTAGCTCTTTTCGACAAGCACAATGAACAGTGGACCACGGTTAACGTCCCGTCCGAAGGACTGCGACCCTAAACAGTAGCGTGCATGTCGGGTGAGCGACATCAGCCGGGATTCGAACTCCCAACCTCTTAGTCCAGAGGCAGGATCGCTAACCACTGGACTACGCACGCTACTACAGTACTACGCACACTAGTACAGTACTACGCACAATACTACTAGACTACGCACGCTACTGGTAACAGATTGTTGCGGGTTTTACCTGGTGGCAGCGCGTGCTTTACCACTCCACTCAGATAGGGGTCCTCGTTGACATTCTGCAGGTAGGGGTGCTCCTTAGTCATCATGTCCTCCTGGGGAGACGTAAAAAAAAACATGTACAAAAACGTTACAGCCACCTTATCTTTACAGTGCAAACTGTCTTCCATACTCATGTGCACACCCGCGCATACACGCGCACACGCGCACACACACACAAAGACACACACGCACACACACATCCCCCCACACGCACGCATACACAACCACACACACAAAGACACTCACACACACACACACACACACAACCACACACACACACACACTCACTCACACACACACACGCGCGCACACACACAAACACACACAAACACACACACACACAAAGACACACAGGCACACACACATCCCCCCCACACACGCACACGCACACACAACCACACATACACACACAAAGACACTCACACACACACACACACACACACACACACACACACACACACACACTCATTACGGCCATCTTAATATCTTTACAGCACAAACTGTTCTTCCAAAGAATGATAGAAACATAAAAGCTATCCTCTATCTCCTATCGCACTTGCAGCAGTAAACCCCTGTCTTCAGGCTCACAGTAGGCGGGTGGTAAGGCATAGGAAAAAAAATGTGTGTTTCCTGTTTCAGTCCTGGAAAAATTAGGATCGGTAGGTAGGGATTAATTTTTTTCTTCCTTTTTGTTTTAGATTTAGTTTGGGCATCTCTAGTAATCCAATATGCGATACAGTTAACAAAGTGAAACTTGCATCAGGACATTTATATTTTCAATGTCAATATTGGAAAACCGATTGTACAAGGTTTCATCACTCAGGTGTCAGATCATGGAGCTAGAAAAGGCTTTGATCAGCTTGAAAAATTCATGTCCCTTGCAGGGATCCACTCAAAAAAGTCTAGGGTTGGCAGTTTTTTATGGTCGGGTTTCTGGGGAAACTGGAAACCCAACATTTTTTTTCCTAGGCCTAGACGGGGGATTAGTGACGCACATGTTGCCGGGACGATCATAGCCAGAAAGCCCCTGGATTCAAACACATCGCCCCCAGGAAACACATTAGACTGCATTAAGATCATACCCAGATCTGTCATTCTTGGGCCGTGTCGTTAAAGAGCACAACATGCTTGTAGTTTTATTAGGAAGAATTACAGTCAGTGACATTTGCTGTGCACAAGAACCACAGGACAGAGGCAAATGGCCAGCTACCATCAAGCCCCAGCATCAGTGTGCAAGCACGTCTAACCCTCAGAACACGGGGATGTTAAACCGGATAGAGAGAGAGAGAGAGAGAGATAGATGACAGAAATAAAAACAACAGTACTCGTTGGCTGACAATGCCGTACCTTCGACACTTGAGCTTGTGACTGCTCCCATTCTCTCCTATAGTGACAGGGAAAAAATAAATTGTTGAACATTCAGGCTGTATCATATTTCGTACCTAGGAGTTTGTGCAAGGGATGAAGAGGATGAATGATGTATAGCATTTAACTAGACAATTGTTAAATATATGAAATTCAGGGGGCAATCAACAATAGGGTTAGGTATAGCAGAATACATTGTAGATTTCAGAGTCAAGCCTAGTTTTTTCAACTTGAAAGTGGCAAGTAACGTGCATTTCACAGCTATCACGACTGATATCTATGTAGATATGGATCCACATTAACAGGTTACCTTGCTTCTTCCAGCTTCTTTTCCCATGTCATCTGTATATCTGCCATCTGCCTAACGTTTTCCTGCAACATTCTCTCCAGTTCTGTAATAAATAAACAAACACAACCGTCAGCTGCAATTACATGGACTGTGCTGTTACTTCTTGATAAACAGTTACTGACCGAAACTTGTATTTTCCAAGAACTATCGTAGAGTGGAACTCACTGCCACCAAACACAGTTGGGGCATCATCACTGGCAAGCTTTAAACGACTCCTGCAATTAAATGTGCAAAGATCGAGTGTAACAATTTTGGTGTGATATAGCTAGCTGCCGCCTCGCTGTGTGCCTGCATTACTGGCTATACCATACAGAAGCTGGTGTGTTACGCTGATGGGCGGTTATACCGGCTATACAGAAGCTGGTGTGATATGCCGAAGAGCAGGTACACAGATACAGATAAAGTTACCAACCTTCGTCCCTGCCCTTCCCCCCTCTGTCCTGTCCCTGCAGTTTGGCCATGAGCCGAGCGTTTTCCTCCTTCAGTTCCCGGATCAGTCTGTCCGTCGGGCTCTCGTTCACTACGGCATTATTCTTGATCTTCTTCGCTCTACAAATACAGAAAGAAAATACATGTAGTTTGTTTTTTTGTGTCGATCAAATTATGGTTCTGACTTCCGATACCACTTCTTGACCCCTGTCTGCGGTGGTGCAGTCCGGCTGGGCCGACCTCCGGCTTGTTGCACCGCCTGGATAATTGCATGGTCTGACACATGAGTGGTGCATATAAACGGCTTCCTCTGTATCATATTAAGTTAATCGAAATGTCCACAATGTCTTGCCTTTCTTCACTGTTCATAGTTTGGGATAAATATCTGTTGAACTACGTGGGGTCGTGTGGCGTAGCGGCAGAGTGCGCGACTCGGAACCAAGAGGTCCCGGGTTTGAGTCCTGACATGCCACCAATCTTGTGCTCTTGGGAAAGGCACTTTACACGACTTTTCTCACTTCGCTCAGGTGAAGATGAGTATAGTATTGCCCCCTGTGTTGGTGGCGGCATTAATATAAGTTGATATAACTTGAGTGTTCTTTCACCACGTCTTGTGATTACATGCTGGAATAAAAAAATTTAAAAAACTACAGATCCCTGTAGTCACTGACAAAAAGTACTACATGTACTTGAAATGTCTGATAAAATCTATTCAGTTGCTTGACAATTTACTTTTGATGTGTATCTCATTACCTGCGTGCCTAACCTTCATCAAAGTTTTTATCAGGTTGTTTTCTCTATACTTTGGCAGATGTATGTACTAAAAAGACAACTCCCCAGCAAAATGTTTGGCCTCCAATTGGTCTGAAATAAATAGCCCTGGATGGGTTAGAAATTTATAATAAGTAAGAAATTTATTCCATTATGACAGTTATGATATTACATTTGTTGTGCTTACCTATCAGCATATCTAAGTGTTGACAGTGTCTCTTCATAGTTGATATCTGCAGGACTAAGAGCAGCAATCTGCAAATGGAGTGAAAAACAAAATTCACCACAAAACTTCAGGATACTATGTATATCATATTCCTACATGTATGTATGACATAAAGGACAGGCTATCTTGTATGTCATCAATAACGTTTGGTCCAGTTAGTTTCACAGATTTTCAAAGTTTTACACATGTCTGTCACACAGTTTCAGGCTATTTTATAATCAGCTCTAACAAAGTATGGAGACTTTATAAAAAATGTCATACTGCAACAATCACCGATCAGCGGCAACTAACATTAACGTCAGCATTTAAAAACAGACTGTAGAGGACCGCAGACTGTAGGACTGGAACTGGAAACTTAATGGACTAAGTTCATATACTGTGATCACTTGGGTCTATAAGTCTGTATGACGTGTACTTGTAACATTATTTGTACATTATTGTGTTGTAGTTTTCATTACTGTATTTTTAAATGTGTGTGCCCAGGACTATTTGAAAAACTGATCTACAGGATTGAGATATATCCTGGTGAAATAAATAAGCTTAAACTTAAACAAACGGAGGCGAAGTCCATCTCCCAGTTCAAAGCAGAGCTGGGACGGGCTTCGCTGCCTCTCTGTCCTTGTACATAATATTATGTAAATATGTGTAATACTATTGACTTCACTTGTCCTGTTCTTGCACTTGTCTACGTCCACCCCTACCCTACCCTTTGTTTGCACACAGTCACTAATCTTAGAGGGATGAGCAGTATCGAAGATGATGATGATGAACTGTAACAGTGTTGAAGTTGTACCCACCATGATAGTCTTACTGTTGCCTCCCAGGGCGTTCTGTAGCAGCTTGGTTAATACTGAGTTTCTGTACGGCACCATCACCTTCTTCTTCCCACTAGAGTTATCTGCCAAGGCACTGAAAATACAGGACAGAAACAGGAAAATAAGTTAGAGATACAAGTACCAATCTTTGCCTATTCGTATGTCCTGATGAAACCATATCTACCGGAATACACAGTGTGACATGTCCTGCATGTAAAATTTGCTTCGCAGGCACACGGCGCGGCGGCAGCTGGCTAAATCATACCAAACGATTTGTTACACCAGGTTAATCTCACTGCTACTACAACTACTACTACTACTACTACTACTACTACTCCTACTAACTACTACTACTCCTACTACTACTATTGCTACTACCACTACTACTACTACTACAACTACAACTACTACTACTACAACTACTACTACTACTACTACTACTACTCCTCCTACTAACTACTACTACTCCTACTACTACTATTGCTACTACCACTACTACTACTACTACTACTACAACTACAACTACTACTACTACAACTACTACTACTACTACTACTGCTACTACTCCTACTAACTACTACTACTACTAAACTACCAACTACTAACTACTACTACTACTACTACTACTACTACTACTGCTGCTGCTGCTACTACTACTGCTACTGCTACTACTGCTGCTACCACTGCTACTACTACCACTACTACAACTACTACTCCTACTAACTACTACTACTACTCCTACTACTAACCTGATGACATTGCCGAGGGTGGACAGACTCTGGTTGATGGCTGACCCCTCCTTCAGTCTGTCCCCCGTAGCTCCAGTGGAGCTGGCTACTACCACTCTACTACTACTACTAACTACTACTACTCCTACTACTACTATTGCTACTACTCCTACTACTACAACTACAACTACTACTACTACTACTACTACTACTACTACAGTACAGATCGCGGGATAAGCATCATCGGGATTCGGGATTTTGCGGGATATCCCGCGGGAGTTTGCGGGATATCACGCGGGAGACTGCGGGATATCCCGCGGGAGTTTGCGGGATATCACGCGGGAGATTGCGGGATATCCCGCGGTATTCTTTCGGGAGGCCTGTCGTGTCCCGCGTACCGCGTAGCGAAAAAACTTGGTGCGAGACCCCGAAGTCTGCCGCGGCTCGGAACGGCGATGGCGGCGTGTCAAATGTTTATTTTTACGTCCTGCCGGGCGATCTGTGCCGGGCCGATGGAGTCTGACGCCAGTCAACTTTGCTACAATTTTGCTACAATTTTGATGGTGTTGAAGCATAGGCCTATAGGAATGTAGGAAAATAATGTGTCTCACGCGGTCATAGTTATTATAAAACTGCTACTTTTTTTTCAAAGCTATTGTTCAGCGCAAACTTTAACTTTAAGAAACTACCGTGAATGAATACAATGTAACGTGTAGTAATCCCTCCGTCTCCGGTAAATTCGGCAAGATTGTTACCAAGAAATAAAAATTATGAGGCGTACCGGCAGTAGTTTGTGGTTGTGTTTCATAATCTTGTAGCTGTTGTCTTCTCATGGGTAGCTTGCGTCAAGAGGTCTCCGTATTAGTATTAAGAATTGCGACAATTAAAAGTTTGCCCATCAAAATCCCGGGGCGTGCGTCTCCCCCCTCCCCAAAAACTCTTGCATCAACAACGACCATGTCCATAATTAATTTCGATAGATTGCTATCACCCTGAAAGCAAGTACTTCCACGCGGCTGGCAAAGTTTCTTTCGGTAGGAAAACATTCTACTTCTGTCAGCTACGGGGTCAGCCAACTAGATGAAAACGGAGTCGATTTTTAACAGAACAACGATATAAACTTAGCGCACGTCCAAGACACGGGAGAACCCGAAAAATAAATAAACACGGGAGAACCCAAACTAAACGTGTTTATGCAAAATTTGACGCAAATTAATTCGTTCTCAGACCATAAAACTTGAAATTCACTCGGTACACTCCGTGGAACTAGCCTCCTCACATGTGAAAAACGTTGTTTTGGGATGAAATTGGGATATAAGAAAATTACAATGCCGCATGCCGGCCGTGCAGGGCGGAAAAAGAAGCTACAATCCGACGTACGTATAACAATCGCAGGCGGTGTTCTTTAAAGCTTTGGGGCGCGCATCTGACTCAACTCTTTGAATTCGCGGCCCAGCTGGTGGGCGGGTCCCGTCCTGCGGGCGTGTGATTGGCGCGCCAGAACGCCACGTGGTCTGTCGGCGCCGGGGACGGTCTGCCAGCGCCGCTGCTGGCGACGTGCGGTTTCTATGGCGACGCGGCGTGGGAACGCCCGGCCCAACACTGGGGGTCTGCATGCCCTTTTTCGTAAGGCGTAATCAGGCGTTTTTTAATTCATTGTCTTCGTAAACCGTAGGCAACCTTCCCTAAAATCAACGTAATTCGTAATCAGTACATTAGCCGCAAAGCGTAAAGTCGTAATCAGCTCTGAAACTTTAACTTTATAGCGAAAATTTTGCGTAATTCGTAATCACTAACCCCCATGCAGGCCCTGAACACTGCGTGGCGCACGAAATGTATCAAAGTTTGAGGCGTAAAGAACCCTTGAATTATGCTTCGCCCCCTTGTTTTACACAATGTTTAATCTCTCTTCCGTAACTCCATACGTCAACCTCCCCTATCTAGGAGAAAAATAAAGAACTCGAGTGGCGATTTGGCACGTCGATGCGTTAGATTTTTTAAAAATTATATCTGAAATAGCGCGGGTCGGGTGACATCAAAATAAAGCCGTCCACGTCGCAAGGCCGGACACAAAACCTGTTCAAGAAGGTTGTATTACTTTGTTATCGTTCTATATCTTATTAAGCCACCAGATTTTCGATATTAAAAAAAGAAATGTTTGGTTAAAAATACTATTTGCTCTACTGTTATTTGCATGCATTGAAAACATACTAAAACATGCACGCATCGTCTGTCTGCGTAAAAATCTGTAGTCAACGCGGTTCAACTTCAAGTAACAGCGGCGCCGGCCCTTCGGAAACCTAAAGTCTCACACCGAAGATCGGGGTTGCGGGAGAGGATTTCGTACCGCGGGATATCCCGATAAATCCCGCAGGAGATCCCGCAAACTCCCGCAGGAGATCCCGCAAACTCCCGCGGGAGATCCCGCAAACTCCCGCGTGATATCCCGCAAACTCCCGCGGGATCTCCCGCGGGACTTGATGCTTATCCCGAGATCTGTACTGTACTACTACTACTACAACTACAACTACTACTACTACTACTACTACAACTACTACTACTACTACTACTACTACTACTACTACTACTACAACAACTACTACTACTACTACTACTACAACTACGTACTACTGCTACTTCTACTACTCCTACTAACCTGATGACGTTGCCGAGGGTGGACAGACTCTGGTTGATGGCCGACCCCTCCTTCAGTCTGTCCCCCGTAGCTCCAGTGGAGCTGCCCCGCTTACTGCACTACTACTGCTGCTACTGCTACTGCTACTACTACTACTACTACTACCACTACTGACCTGATGACGTTGCCGAGTGTGGACAGACTCTGGTTGATGGCTGACCCCTCCTTCAGTCTGTCCCCCGTAGCTCCAGTGGAGCTGGCCCGCTCGCTGCCAGCCAGGTCCACCAGGTTAATCTCACTGCTCTTGGTGGTGCTCTCCCCACTCGCATTGATAAACACCTGAGTACAACACACAACACATGTTAGTTTTTTTTTTTACTTAGGCCACACCAATTTAATTTGTTGGTTCTCGGATTTTTTCAGAAAAAATATGAAGCGACAGGGCGAAAAAAAAAAAAAACAGGTCTAGGCATCCTATTGCTACAAAATGAGCCATGAAGTCAACACAAAAGGCTGGGTTAAAATGTAAACATTGAATTTTGAACTTTTAATCAAACCACTGCAATGATAGATGGGAAAACTGTAACAACTAGGAAGAAAAGGACTTGCCTCAACTGTTGGGGGGCAAAACATGAGCATTTTTCAGTTGATTCAGGACCAGAATCAAATTTTTTTTTTTTGCAAATCAGAAAAAAACGAAGCGGCAAATCCGAGAACCAACAAATTAAATTGGTGTAGCCTTAGACCACCAGATTTAATTTTATGGATGACATCCTCCAAAGACTGTACCATGGATCGTCGGCAGCCTGGTTGCCGTCCTCCGTAGTTACCGCCGGCTCCCTGCTGTCGCTAGCTACCATGGAGTACGGAGGATGGCTACCAAGCCAGACAAAAATCAATGCGCGCGCGGATGTACAACACACACCGTTACTTTCTTTTACTTAGGCCACACCAATTTGATTTGTTTCCTGTTTCAGTCCTGAAAAAATTAGAGTCGCTAGGTAGGCAGTTCTTTTTTCTTTCTTTTTTTTTAAGACTGGTGATCTCTAGTGGTCCAACTGACACAATACAGTTCATCAAATTGAAGCATGCATGAGGAAACTTATATTTCGTCAATGTTGGAACACAGATTGTACAATGTTTCATCACTCACATGTTTCATCACTAGAAAAGGTCGATCAGCTCAAAAAATTTATGTCCCTTGCAGGGGTTCACACAAAAAAGGGCTAGGGTCGGCAGGTTTTTCTAGGGTCGGTTGGGAAACAGGAAACACAACATTATGAAAAACTTTACGTAACCAACACCAAGTAAATTGGGACTTACCCCAAATTTTCAACTGACTCCGTCAGCCTTGTTCACGGAATGGACCCTTCTACTGCAGCTTCCGGGACGTGACGTCGGAAACACGTGATTGCAGCAGAGGGTCATACGTGGCAGATAACCTTGGTGTTGGTTACGTAAAGTTTAACTGTTTTCATAATGTTATATACCAACACAGATGAACTTTCGTGCTAAGGAAAACACAACATTTTTTTTCTACGCCTGATTGTCCAGACCTGTTTGAACCTGATGGTGATGACCATGTGCGATCGGCTGCTGGTGGCGTTCATGTTGGTGGATGCTGTGGTCCTGTTCTTGGTGCCCTGGTCCATCAATCTCTCTATCTCCTTGTAGTTCTGCACTGGGGTTTGCTGAAACAACAAAACAGTTGTGTACAGGGCCGTGAAACTCTGGAATTCTCTACCTACAGATGTAAAGTCCATCTCCCATGTTAAATACTTTACCAACAGGGTGGTGCAATTCATAAAAGTCAGACAGTTATCTTCAAGGTAGAATTCATATGGTTTTTTTAACGATTGCCATGTAAACAGTTAAGGTTTTTTATGCGACGTGTAATCCTCTCTGTTTTTAAATGATTCTTGCTGTAAGTTAAGTGTAAATATGTTGTAAGTTAAGTGTAAATATGTCAGTAGGATTGTGTCTGTAATTGTGATGTTACATGTATTTGTATTGGAACCCTGGAAGAATAGTCCATAATGGGCTAAAGGGTATCTCAATAAACTGAAACTGAAGTTCCATGAGGCAAGGGAACTGATCTTCATCTTCAAGTTTGACTCCTGATACATAATGACTTTAACAATCTTTCCGATACGTTGATGAAGGTTAGACATCCGTGTAAACAATACTCATAGGAAACTCAAGCTCTACAACTGGATAAATTACGGAGATAATATCAGGACATTTTGAGTGACATCCACCAGTCTTCTTCAGCGTCACTAATGGACCTTTGACATGTTCAACCGGTTTTTCCAGTTGCTCATATATGGTTTGTCGAGTTGTTAGTTTATTAGTGACACTGAAGAAGAGTGGTGGACCACAATCTAAGAAAAGGACTCACCTTGAGATGTTCTACATAGAAACCTTGCTTGGGACTTTGTCGCACAGTTAGATTCTTAGAATCCTTTGACAGAAGGTCTCTGACCTACAGATAAATCCATGAAGCAGAATTTGTCAGTCACATGCACATATTGGGTCTGCTTGAAAAATAGTAGCTTAAACTCTAACTTTCAAAACACCTTACCATCCTGAAATATTGGGAAAAACAGTCAAACTTGCAAAGTTGTTTTTCATTACTTTACATTCCATACAATTACAAACACGAGAAAGGTTTGGTCCACAGTATTGTTATTTCTGTGCAAACTTTGTTATCCATCAGAATGAATATTTATGCAAGCATCATATTGCATAAGACATGGACAGGGGATATATCAATTCAATTCATTCTTTATTTTAGGCACACAGCCCATATCAGGACATAAATTAAAAAATACGGATACACAAACGTAAGTATAATACATGCATGTGCAGAAAGATTAATGTTAAAGAAATTTAAGGAGAATTTGTGAGATCATTGTAACAGGAAAAGTTTTGTCTTACCTTCTCATTATATATCTCCAACATACTAAAGCTAACCTGTAGAAAACAGAATAAAACAGCAAGACCAGTCAAAAAGTAATCAAAAACACACAATGAATGGGCTCACGGTACTAAGTTAACGTAAAATTAGCCTCCATAGCATGCCAAAAAATGGGAGGTTTGGGGGGTCTTCATGGTCTTTGGGAGCTTTTATATCTTATTTTCTGATTGCATATAGACAACATAGCCGGCCTGGTTGAATTACCCCCGTTTTTAGAACTGGTCTAATCAGAAAACAGCCAAAGACCACCAAACCCCCAGTTGTATAAGCCTGCTACGGAGGCCAAATCTCTTTGTAGTTCATGTAGTCAAACTGCATTTAAGATCATTAAATATGATTAAAAAAATAATATTTTCACACACGTTTGTCGTCCTTGGCCCATAGTTTATCTTTATTTGAGATATGCTTGCTTGATATTTGAACTGGGTGTCGAATGATCAAGGTCCAATCGATAAAAACGTTTTCGAGATTATTTTAGTGTAACAACAGTGTTAGTAACTAACTAATTATCTTTATCCGGTAGTGACCATTCTGCAGTTTTGTCTATGCTTAATCTCGCTGTGTTCATGCTACATTTCTTTACCTGTCACAAGTCTTTTATAACAATATATATGAATGGATAAAAGAGTCAGGGAAATCAGTGTTGAGCTCTTCCACGTGGAAGTATCAGGATTGAGGTACCAGCAGTGACAATGAACCTTAATTTTTTCTCTTTCTCCTCATTGCTTTTATTTCCTAAAAAAAAAAAACAAATAAATATACAGAAACTAAAACACAAGAGGGCACAACTAAACCAAATTGAGTAAAAACCAATTTTGAAGATAACTTCTACAAAAGTAGACAGACACATATACAGTAGGGGAAAAATGCATCCCTTAAACATATCAAATGTTTAATTCTAGTCCAAACTCAACTTGACCCACCCTACTGTTACAGATAGGTAATATAGTCTGAGTTAAAGATTAAGTGGTCTGAGCTTTGCATCAGGATCGACCCAATTTTATAGTTTAGCTTTAATAAGTGATGTTTTCATCCCAGAGCAAACAGAGGTCCTCGACTGTGAAAAGGCCTCCATGGTAACTATCAAAGGGCATCAGGTTAGGAACACTCAGTCACCGGGCACCACTCCTGCTATTCTAAACACAGTGACTCAGGGCTGGAAATACTGGGTGCATGTGCACCTTAGTGCACCCAAATTTGGAGCTGTGCACCCAATTTTTTTTCTGTGGGTGCACCTGTACACCCAAATATTTTCTTAGGTTTAACGTATGTAAAAATGTTAAATGTATAGTAGTAGTAGTAGTATACAGCATATTCTTAACATCTAAGAAAAAACAATACTATTCTTATCTCCTTTTCTTGAAATGAAACATAATAATTATAGTTTTTGCAGACATACTACTTATTTTATCTTAGTAAGTAGTAAGTAGTAAGTACCCAATTTTTTAGGTTGGGTGCACCAGTGCACCTATTCCCAAAAATGAATTTTGAGCCCTGCTATTCTAAACACAGTGACTCCTAGTCTCACACTCATCTGGCCTCGAAATTAAAGGGGGCCCACAAGCCCTTTTCCGTAGAGCGTAATCGGCCGTTTTAATTTTATTTCGAGCCAGGTCACCAGGCACCACTCCTGCTATTCCAAACACCGCTGCCTCCCGTGGGCCTTTGTTCGAACGGTTACGTGCAAGCGGTCGTACAAAAAGTGACAGATCTGATATTCATTACCTTGCCAGTTGCTTGGTTTCAAAACAAATCAAGCCTAGGTGGGTTCAAGGGACGTTTAGACATTCGGGCAGAAGTCATGCACTGCAAAAGACTACATCTGAGTGGGGTCGTGTGGTGTAACGACAGAGCGTTCAGCTCGGAACCAAGAGGTCCTGAGTTCGAATCCTGCCATGCCACTGATCTTGTGGGGAAAGGCACTTCACACAAATTTCCTCAATTTACTCAGGTGAAAATGAGTATGTCTGTTGTCTGTTCATACATTTGTCTGTGTTGGAGGCGGCATAAAATAAGTTAAAAAACTTGAGTGTGTCGTCACGTAATAAATGTTAGAATAGAAAAAAAAGACTACACCTGAGTGAGTTTAATGAATAGGCCACAGCTAGTCACTTTCGTTATTATTTACCACTTTATAGGCTGGTATGTTGACGTAATTTGCCCAACTGTTGCCCCAGAATAACCACAAAACGCCCATACTTTCGAAGTGTAAAGACACTATTTTCTACAGAACATCTGAAACAGAAATTCTGATGCAATGTTGACCAAACATCGTTTCGTGCAGGCGCAGTACGTTTTGCCAACATGCTGGCTTCTGCACGGATGTGGCCCAAAAAAAGTCAATACAGAAATGAATAATTGAGGAGTTAGGATCAACGTCTTCATTGTTGTCCTAACACAATATTTCCACATCCCGTTCCTTTGTCTGACACAACAGCTACATGTACTCCCAGAGGTCCTCAGCTGACAAAACCTATCGATATCACTTGTCACACATATTATGCACCCCTTTTCACAACTTTATTGCTCATTTTCATGTGTACCGTTACACTGAAACTATGCTGTGTTTTCAATCGACATTCGATACACCAAATCGACATTTGATACACAAAAACCAGTAGGCTTCTACTTTGGCCGGTCATGTTGTACGTAGTAAAGAACCAGCCAGTAGGCTTCTATTTTGGAACCCTGATACGAAGAGAAGAATCAGACGTCCAAACATAGCACTTAAGAAACTTATAGAAACTGAAACAGGCTTTTTTTACCGAATTCTAGGATCTGTACCCCTTGTAGGAAGGCCTGGTGGAGGCTGATCAATATCACTTGTCACACGTAATTTGCACCCCTTCTGACAACCTATATTGCTCATGAGTACACAAATCTATCTCCATGTACATGTAGCTTCCACCAGGCCTTCCTACGGGGGTACGGATCCCAGAATTTAGTAAAAAAGGGGATCCGAAATAGTTGACCAGGAGAGTCAGTCCACGAGAGGATTAATTTCCCAAAATGAACTCTAAACGGGCTAAACTCCCCTAGACAATCATTCTCCCTATTGGCTAAATTTTACTTTTTTTCTTAAACAGTGTTTTTAGTCTGGTGGAGACTAAGGCCACACCAATTTAATTTCTTGGTTAACGGATTTTTCTAGAAAAATAATGGAGCGGGCGGGCAGAAAAAAATAAAAAATAAAAACAGGCCTAGGCATCCCATTATGGCCCAAAATGGTACGATAGGACTAGGAGCAATGAAGTCAACACACCAGGCTGGTTCAAAATTTAAACAATGAATTTTGAACTTTTAATGATACCATTGCATTGAAAGATGGAATAAATGTAACAATTAGGATGAAAAGGACTGTTTTCAACTGTTCAGGGCAAAATATGAGCATTTTGCAGTTGATTCTGAATTTTTATTTTTATTTTTCAAATCAGAAAAAAATGAAGCAGGCCAATCCGTTAACCAAGAAATTAAATTGGTGTGGCCTCAATTTTATTGGGACTCCCTGGCCACTGACCACTTTTAATCGGTCCTTATTTCCCCAGCTGGCCTTCCCCTTTCTCTAAAGAATCCACTTGTCCACAGCGACCAATATTTGACAGGTCCCTTGAGTATATTTTATGGTCATGTTTGGACGTACAGTACAGAAATTCATCCTAAAGAAAGAACTGGTTTTCATACTTTTCAACTGACAGCAGGACCTGGAAAGATTGTAAACTTGCTTCCGCAATTTAAGTCTAATCTGCTGGTCACTCTACAAATTTGGGGAAATATTCATAGCTTGTCAAAGGAATCCACCATGTGACAGTTCACAATGTGGCTCGGATTCTTAGTTGGAAGTTTAAGGGTTAAATAGCAGGTTGTTGAAGAGATCTCGTGTGATTGTGGTCTCATTCATGAGTTTTTTCGATACATTAGAAACCATGCATTAATGAGTGACTTACCAGACCGTGTTCCCTATGATCCTACATTAAATCAATTGATATCTTTCATGCTATGTTGAGCACACTTACCCTACGTCTCATAAAAAAATTGCCAACGACTTCTATACACACAATCCCCTTTTATGGGAATCAGAAACTGCACTTAGCGGCTGTCCGCAAGAGGCCCTCCCGCGCTGCAAACCTACGACCGCACAACTCACAACAATGGACTGTGCACGTCCGACCTAGCGCGCGGCTGCCGACAATTACGTCCTAATTTCATCAGTTACAAACAAGCTTTCACCGCTTTGACGTTTTACATCAGTTGGGATGGCTAAAGGGGAAATTCTCACCAATAAAAACACTCGTTTATACAGCCGTTTAGTTTTTGACTTGGTACTCTTTTAGGGGGTACACTCGGAGTAATACATGAATGAGACCTTGTGACCATTTAACTTCCTTATGACCCTGGCCAGGTGAGCTAGTTGGATATTTCCTTCTCGTTCTACAGTTTCTGAAAAGTTTTAAATCTCTCTGGACACCTTCAAGTGTTGAGCACGTCGTCCGCTGCTATACACTACAAAACTGCACGGATGTACCTTTGCATAACCACAATAAAAGTTGATGAAACCGTCATTAACGTCATAAATTCCATTCCACGTGGATCAAGGACTGCCAGAACAAACAGCCCACATAAATCAGGGGGATCTAGTTGTGTCCTATCTTACTTGATAGGATATAGGGATTTTCTTTTTACACAACCAGTAATGTCTCTCACCTGGTTAGGCCACACCAATTTAATTTGTTGGCTCTCAGATACGCCTCTTCATTTTTTTTCTGATTTGCAAAAAAAAACCAAGATTCTGATTTGGAAACAACTAAAAAATTTTCATATTTTGTCCCCAACAGTTGAGAAAAGTCCTTTTCTTCCTAGCTGTTACAGATTTTCCATCTATCAATGCAATGGTTTGATTAAAAGAGCAAGATTCATTGTTTGAATATCAACACAGCCTTTTGTGACTTCATGGCTCCTATCATTACATTTGGGGCTATAATAGGATGCCTAGACCTGTTTGTTTTTTGTTTTTTTCGCCCCGTCGCTACATATTTTTTTCTGAAAAAATCTGAGACCCAACAAATGAAATTGGTGTGGCCTTAAATAAATAAACTTGTATTTAGGCCACAACAAGTAAATTTTATGGATGACATCCTCCGCCGACTCCAAATCTAATGCGAGCGGGCGAAAAAAAACAAGGCGGGCAGAAAAAAACAAGGTTCATACATTTTGAAATGTTGACTCAATCATTGTACAAATGGTTTTTATTCAATGCGAACATCATATACACAGCCAGCATCACATATCACTGCATCAAGTTATCCGCCTTTTTTTGTCGCCTCTCTTCATATTAGTTATCTGCCATCCACCTTCCAGCATGGCAACAGACATCTTTTCCCATTTTCGGCATGTTGACCACTGTCCGAGGGCAACAAAATTTCTTGTTTTTTTTTTCAAAATCAGGCGAAAATTAATGCGCGCGCTGATGTCAACCATAAAAATTACTTGCTGTGGCCCTACTGAATCTTACTTGATATTGCCTCTCTTTGTCTTCGTTCTTTGAGATTGCGGTAAACAGTTCGTCGCATGTGATGGGCACAATGCCTCTGTTGACGCCGTAGCCGATCATGGAGTAGCTCTTCCCCGCTCCGGTTTGTCCGTAGGCAAACAGGGCCGCGTTGTAGCCCGCCCAGGCGTTGTTCAGGACACCTTGTCCAAGATCGTTAAACACTCGTCTCTGCATAAAACATAAAGATTTTTAAAGATTTTTATTGTCCAAACAGTACCCGTGCAGTCGCAGCCTTTATACGGCTGAATTAATGCAGGGTATCACATAATAATCAATACAAATCACAACAATCAAATAATACACATGACACATTATATTTGTTCCACAATTATTTCTTGTGGAACTGTCGCAAGGGTCTGTGCGGCTGCCATTCGGCGCCACAAGGTGACCTCAATACGACTTTCCCCAACCGAAGTTGGTACCCATTCACACCTGGGTGGAGTGAGGAAAGTCGTGTAAAGTGCCTTTCCCAAGGACACAACGGCGGGGCCGAACCCGGGTGTCCTCGCTACACTACACCACCCAACGAGTCAGCAAGTCAGTGAGTGTACATGTCATGTATATATGATAGGCTGTAATAAAGGGTTAATAAAGGGTTTAATAGATACTACAAGTCTTAACACTACAGTACTGTTAGTGCCCTGTCCCCTGTATAATGGTACGGTCCAAAAAGTGGTCGGTTATTCTAATAACCGACCACTTTTTTCATTATTCATCACTTATGATGTTACGTTCTGATGACTATAAGCAAGTCAAGTGAGCGAGTACTACATGCTACGTGTCTCTGTATCTGTATCTGTATAGCCGGTATTCGCAGGCACGCGGCGCGGCGGCAGCTGGCTATATTACACCGATCGACCTGTTACACCTAACCCATGAACTTCTAGCTCTAGACTTTGTTTAAAGCTATCTATTGACAATGCCCCTACTGTACTTGGTGACAGTGAGTTCCACTCTGCGATAGTTCTAGGAAAGCATGAATTCTTGAACACCTCAATCCTTGGTTGATAACTCTGGTACTTGAAGGCATGGCTATTTCTTGTTCTCTTCTGGGCTGGTATTAGGTACTTAGTAGTTGGGACATGTCATGTAAACCTACAAAATATTTGGGTGCACAGCTCCAAATTTGAACCCAGTATTTCGAGCCCTGATATGGTGAGTTCTCTTCTTCGCAAGCTCCGAAGAGAACTATGTTTCCCGTCTATTTCACAGACAAACACACACAATTAGGGTAGTGAGCTCACCGTCACCTCAGTACGGTCGGGCATTTATTGCAATTGGCTCGTCAATTCAGTAACACCATTACTCTCTACACATTGTAGCTCTCATAGCATGTACATACTTATACAGGAGCCTAATACAACAACAACAAGTCATGTGCTGCGAGCTGGCGACCTATTTTACCCTGGTTGCCAATTGTTTAGCCAAAGTCGGGCTGGTCGGTTAAACCAATGCTCTGTCCAGCGGATGTTTAACGCATCCTGACTTGTAAGTAACTTCTAACCGGCGAAGTTCAAAAGCTCATCTGCGTGAACAAGGTCGAAAACATCCTGGCTAAGCAATGATGCGTTACAGGTACACCTGAATAACTACTGACCTTCGTAAGTAACGTGGTTCAAAATACGACAATAACACAATTCTGGAGTATATCAGAGGTTACAGCTACACAACATACTGAGTACAGCAAATGGCCACAATGTGACTGGGAACGCTAGCAAGGCAGGTATCTTGCAGAGAAGAGACAACATGAAGGTTATGTAACAACTGATACGTACGCTAAGTCGCAGGTACCATTGAGGACAACGTACAGTGCCATGACGAATGTACGAGTCTAGATAAGTCAGTAAGAACTAAGGTAGCGCGATGTCGTATGAGATGAGAAAACATAACTAACGTTCTACAATCCAGGTGTTCTCGGGTTAGTCATGGGAGGGTTGGGTGGGAATGTGACCGTAAAGAGAAAGGTTGAGCCACGAATGACCCTTACGAGGGTTAGGGAGGAAGGGTCAGAGGGTAAAGGGGCGGAATAATTGGTATCAGGGTAGGGGTCACGTGATTGTCTGTTCAGCCGACGGGAAACGAGATTTCTCTTCTTCGCAAGCTCCGAAGAGAACTATGTTTCCCGTCTATTTCACAGACAAACACACACAATTAGGGTAGTGAGCTCACCGTCACGATGCAAAAGGATAGCATCTCTGTGTATACCCTTGTACACAGAGAGACAACATGACCGGGAGGGAAAGGATGATGATGAGGTGGGAGAACCTAGGGAGAACCGGCTGGGCTAATCTAAGTATGATAATTGTAAAGTACTGGAGTAACGGAACTGGTACGATAATAAAAAGACAGTCTCTTCGGAACAAGGGAGTCATACGTGTAAGGAAGCAACACGTAGGATTAACACGCAGCCTGTAAGTTCATGTTCAGAGTCACGGAAGTACAACTGATGACGACTTCAGATGGTAACGACTCCTGGCGATGACGACTGGCGGTAACGACTGAGTTCGAAGTTTTCGAGAGGTCATGTCCGTTCTGTGCGCTTGCACAAGACGAGCTACAAATCTGCCTTAGTCACAAGTTCAAATATGCAAGGTGATTCAGTCCTGACTGGAGCGATGAACCGCACAGCATCAGTCCCAGGTCCACACGCATGGCTGCCACTGCAGGTTACGCTTCGCTGAACCATTATCACGATGAAACAGACAGTACTACGAAGCAGTCCGGTCATGCTGGTTCGTACATTAAACTCGGCGGGGAAAAGTCCAGCGTCCGCATGCAGTGATCCACGCTGGGGTCCCTTAGTCCTACCTCGACAAGGTGTCAACGCGTCTACACAAGGAACGTCCGATAGAACTTCACGTTCGTCCGCGCGGCGGAAGGAACTTCGTGGTGGAACTTACGTTCACCCACACTTGGGTGCAACTACTGGTGGAATTGCTCCTTCATCCACACGGGGAACCGGTAGAACTTCACGTTCGACTTCCGGAGAAACCTGACGCTCACGGGACTCTAGTGAACTCAAGTTCACCCGCACGGGGGGTTGAACTTGGATTGGACTTACGTTCACCCGCACGGGGGGTTGAACTTCGATGGGACTTACGTTCACCCGCACGGGGGTGGAACTTCCCATGTATCAACAATGTGTCCACAGGGGGGAATAGCATGCACATAGCCATGTGACGAGGAGCACACGGGGCACACGGGGATCACATCTCAAAGGCACACGGTGCACACGGGGAGCACATCGCAATTCAACGTCACACACATAACGTTACTAGTAACCTGTCAGGACATGGGGTAGGGGGGTAAGGCAAAATGGGGGAGGAAGGATGGGGTGGGGGATAGAACAAGGAGGGGTAGGTACTGAGGAGGAGGACGTTCCCAGGAACATGCTATGCCAGACTGGAATCTGCGAATAAGGAACAATCAGGTCGTCAAAACAGCTTCAGACCGGTGGTGGTAGATCATAAGAGAGAGCTGCAAAGTGTAAACAGCTGTTGGTAAGGCGGCAATATTGAACAACTTTCTTGTCGGCGACCGGAAGGACATCACGTCACTATGTACTATTCGCAAAAGGGGGAAGCATTAGTTCCTCCCGTGTGCAGCAGACTAGTCGTAAAAGGGAGAAACATAATTAATACGTGGAGTAATTCGGCACAACTGCGTCTACGAAATTGAAAAAACGATGAGATCAATGCGTTCAATGCAAAAACAAGAGTGTACAAACACAAGAACGACTTGCTACTACTACATGTATTAGCATATGTGTATGAAGGGGGGGTGAGTCATGTGCACATGTCAAGATCTAGGGTGGGAGTTGGCTAGTAGGGGGAACAGGGTCGGGGGTCGGGTGGGGGTGGATGGGACGGAAAAACAAGGCGAGGTGAGGACATGAGAGGTAGGGTCCGAGGTAAGGATCATATACAACGTGGACGCACCAGACATGTAGTGAGAAACCAATCAAACAGTCAGGACAGCCCATCAGAGATCATCAGACAACAAATGCTGGAAGAGTGAGTGTAGAAAACTGTGCATCACGTGGGAGTAGGGCAGTTAGCACATTAATAACTGACCTAGCCAACCAGTCTATCAAAACAAAACAAACAAACGAGGAGGTTGTAACCGATCAAGGATGGGTACTATATACGGGAAGAAAGTCAGGAAGTTTGTTGGTCAATCACGAGGTAATAGCCTGGAATCCTGAAGGCAGAGCGGAGGAACGGAGCGGAGACACAGTCTTCATGGATAGATTCCAGGCTAGAGTGTTTGGGGTGAAAGGGGATATTACGTTCATAACATCACAACGTTCACACGGGTGGGTGGTCTGGAAGAGAAAAGGCTAGGCGGTCAACTGTAACAGGCAGGAAGAGGGTATAGCCTGGCTGTCATTAACGCAGCGGGAGGTGAGGAAGTGCGCTGTCCTCGAGTGACACCTCGTGGTGGGAACGTCTCTGTTGAAGGAAGAATGTGTAAATAGCCAGAGCGCAAACTAGGAAAAAGCAAGGAAATTAGAAGCGTTACTAGAGTAGTACACATGCAGGACCACACGCAAAGAGATCTATGAACGCCCATGATGCAGCAACCTCCTGCTACAGAACTTCCATCATCAGGCGGGCGGGGGTAGCCAGTGGGGTCCGAGCTCGAGGTGGTCCGGTCTGCCGAGGCGATGGAGACTTGGCGCAAAATCCTTGGAACAGACGATCGATGTGAAGAAACGCGACGAAACTGTAGCACAGGGGCGCGCAGAAACCAGTTGAGCTAGCCGCTGGACGCACATAACGGAGGTAGTTCTGGTGTAGAGGTCAAGATCCATGGCGGAATAATCAACTTACGTGGAACGCGAACGTCTACACAAAGGAACAGTCAGAGAGACGGGAATCCACACGAGCAGAAGTACAAGGTGAAGTAATCCAGTGACCAGCGGAAGAAGCCGAGGGGAAATTGTAACTACACACACTTGGGACAAATGTGATCGGGAGCCAAACAAATGTGACCGTAAAGAGAAAGGTTGAGCCACGAATGACCCTTACGAGGGTTAGGGAGGAAGGGTCAGAGGGTAAAGGGGCGGAATAATTGGTATCAGGGTAGGGGTCACGTGATTGTCTGTTCAGCCGACGGGAAACGAGATTGTTCGTGTCATTTATGATATATGATAGACTGTGAAGCCTTTAAGCTTAATTAAGACCCTTGCCTCAAATCAAGCTGCCCCACCTCTTAATACTGTTTGTCAATGACTTGTAATATATCAAGTTCTTGTGAGAAGGGCTTTGCTCTTGGTGGGGGATCTTTAGCCAATTACCTGTAGTCACGTAGTTGAACAGGCATCACAATAAAATGATATATAAAGGTTAAAATGTAGTCCTTAGCAGCCACTCAAGCTCAAGAAAATCTTTTTAAATAACTTTCAATTTGTTAGCATTAACATTTTTTTATGTCTTGGGGTGGTGGGACTACCGCGCACTGGTATGTCAACTTTGTGTATTTAAATGTTAATTGTATTTTGTTGTGTGCCGCTGTTAATATAAGTTATAAACTTGAGTGCAGCGCCACAACGTCCTTGTTATGCTTTGATGTTTTGATGAATAAAGAAAATGATAATTTTATTTATTCATTTCTGTATTCTTTTACCAGGGTGGCACTACTCAGTGACATAGCACTGCTTTACAGAGTGGCCCTGGGTACGACACATATATACACGGAAATACGACAATATTTAACACTTGTAGCCACGGAAAGGGCACATACTGTGACAAAAAAGAGATTTAAAGTTCAATATCAACGCCTGAAGATCAAACACTACTGTGCTTGTAAACGTGTCACTGTGAATGAAAATATACTTGTACTGTTGTAGACTTCGAAAGGGCACGTACTGCGATGAGGATTTAAAGTCCAGTGTACAAAATACTTTTTTGAACCAGGTTGCCCAGTGGGCAACCTACGACAAAAATTAGGTTGCCCATCAGAATTTTAGGTTGCCCCACTATGATATGAAGTTACTACTTTCCTCAAATTAAGTAATGTTACATACATAACCCTTTGACAATATTTGTAACTGCCTTTAGCTTACTGATACTAGTAATAGCCATTAATACCTAAAATTAAAAAGCATCTGCCAGATACAGTGGTGCAAGCCAAGTCGGCATGATTTTGGGGGGGGGGGATTCTTAAAATTCAGGTAGCACACTGGGCTACCTAAGTTCAAAAATAGGTTGCCCCAAGTAAAATTTAGTTGCCCGGGGCAATTGGGCAACCATGTATTTTGCACACTGCTGCTGCATCGATCATTGACAATCCCGTAGCGGCTATACTTTGCATCCAAAAAATTTACTTGCCCAATTACAGGGGGATATTCACTTGCCTGAACAGTACTTTTACTTGCCCTGGGCAAGTGGGCAATGGGACTTGTCCAACCCTGCACGTACTGCGACAATGAGGATTTAAAGTCCAACATCAATGTCTTCAAATCAAAGACTTCTTCCTGTACTTGTGAAGGTATCACAATGGCTGGTTCAGCTATTTATGGGTGGTACCCAAAAAAATAAACAGGTGCCAGTTTGTTTTGGGTTTATTTTAAGAAAGGTCACTTCCTCATCCAGAATATCTTTTGGTTTTGCTGCCTTGAAATTGCTTTGGATGCCTTTAAAATGAAAGACTACACCCCAAGAGCACTCTAGGCAGAATGCACTGCGCCTGCGCGAAACCCTGATTTTTCACGGTTTCCGTTGGATGTTTTGTCAACGTTGCATCAGAATTTTGCCTGTTGCAGACGACATCTTTTCCGACATAACATTTAGAAACTGCAGACAGGATGTTAACCTTATATACGTGAATATGACCTTATATGAGACGTCCGGCCGAAGTGCTGTGCACAATACATTACAAGTTTGGTGCAGTAAGTTCTGTCAACATGCTATACCCAAGTTCTCACCTGGTCAGCAATACAGTTACTGTATTGTATTTAAGTTGGACCACTACTAGAGGAGTAAAAAAACTATTTAAAAAAGCATAATCCCTACCTACTGACACTAATTTTTTCGGGACTGAAACAGGAAACACAACGTTTTTTTTCCTAAGCCTAGCCCACAGATCAGCCATCCCAGCCGAGTCATACCAAAGACTTTAAAAATGGTACATACTGCTTTCTCTGCTTAGCACTCAGCATCTATGAGAAATAGCATGGGAGTTAAACACACAGCACTACCAGTGGGCTAGCCCCTGCTGTAGTGCATGCACAACTGTGTGGCCCAAGGGCTACAGAAATGGAGATGGGCACCACCCCTATGCTCTGTACAGAGTGGAACGGGACCAGTTCTCACCTGGTCGGCATATTTACTGTCGGTAGCCTGATAGATTCCGCTGTCGTCCGCCTGAAACCCGTCATGAGACCAGTAGGACTGGTCGAAGCCGAACATCTTGGTGTTGCCGGTGGCCGGGTCTGTGATGACCGTCTGGCTCCCACTCATGGACAGGATACATTTCGAGTTGGCCGCCTTCTCTCTCTGCAAGTACATGTAAACATACACATGTAACATCCGTGTCCATAATATCACCAGGGTCCATCATATCACCAGGGTCCATAATTTCACCACCTTGAGAAACAGTGTGCTTAAAGATATTTTTACTGCAACATACTTTTGGTATGCACTCCTTCACACCTCAAATGTACATACCTAGGGCATGTTGCAGTAAAAATATCTTTAAGCACACTATTTCTCAAGGTGGTAATATTATGGACCCTGGTGGGATTATGGACACAGATGTTACATCTTGAAAGTTCATCTGTGTTGTCAAGGAATGACAAAGACTTGAGTTGTACAGTCGAAAATTTGGGTGAGTCCAATTTCTTGTGTTGGAAATTACAGTTTAATCTTGCTGCATAGCAAATATATATAATTTAGACTTTGGCTGGTACATGTAGGCTGTAAGTTAAAAATTTACTTCCAAACTATAACGTTAAATAAATACGAAAATCTTCTGAAAGTAGATATTATAGATACGATTATGAAAGTTACACATTCACGAATATAATACTTCTAAGTCTAACTGACTCTAAGATTTCAGACTTGTAGGAAGTCTTTTGGATTTCTAGTTCACCCGATTTCCTGTGCCTGACCTTTTGACCTGTCATTCTGCCTGTCAATCTTCCCCACCCACTGCCAGCCAGCCATTTGGAACAAGCTTGATGGTTAGGAATTAGGGCTTCAATCCTAACTGATGTGGTTGCCTTTAAAAGGAAACTCTCCTCATTTATGTACAACAGATTTTGCCAAACCTACAGTTTAGAGCAACCCTGTACGTGGCAGTTATCTTGTGGTTGCGCTACTTGTCTGGCCACAAGACCGCGCTAACTGTGATATCACTGCTGGCTATGTAACTGTCGTTATTTGTTGTCTCGAATCAATAACTCTCACATTGTTAATAAGTTGACATGCCTTGTAGCTCTAAGTTTATTTATTTGTTTCTCAAATTGTATTATGTGATTTGATTACTTTTTGTATTGTTTTGTCATTTTATTGGTATGGCAGCTTTGAAAAGGTGTTTCATGTCAGAAACACCTGTTTCGCCATGCCATCCACAGTGCATATTGTACGTGGTAAAACTTAATAAATAAATAAATGGTTCATGTATAGTACACAGTATAAAGACTAAAGTTCAACACTGCAAAACTACAGCATTTATCATTGTTAGTCTGGGTGTCACTTTGTAACAATGAGGTGTTTTCTGCATGTCCTACTTCTGACTCATCCCTACTGAGTGTTATTCTCACGGCCAGAAGCAGCCATATTTCTGCAGTCCATTCAGTATTGTTTGTAGTTTCTACAGAGTTTCTTGGAAATATCCTCTCCTAAATTTCCTACATATCCGTGAAATAAATTAGACCTTGGTTTTCATGTTTCATTACCATAAGTATGGATGAAATATATTGTTTTTCCTCGTGTCCTACTTCTGACTCATCCCTACTGAGCGTTATTTTCGGGGCCGGAAGCAGGGATATTTCTGCAGTCCATTCAGTATTGTTTGCAGTTTCTTGGAACCCCCCCTCTCTCTCTCTCTCGCTCTCTCCCCCTCTCTCTCTCCTATAGCTTTTTGGAAACTTAGTGACTTCTCCTAAATTTCCAACATTTTTAAACGAGTAAGTTTCACTTTATAATCATAAGTATGGATGAAACATATTTTTTTCCTCATGTTTCTTCATTTTCTTCTTCTCTTGCCTGACATTCAGCTTTGGGCCAGAAGATCTTAAATTTGGTATAAGGGAAGAGTGGGCAAATGCCGCTGGTCATTTTTCTTTTTCTTGGCTTTTCTTTTCCTTGGGAAGGGTTTAGTGGGTCACGACTACACACCTGTGTACTCTGTTGGGCATTCATTGAAAAAAATCAGTTATGTTCGAAATACCTGTCTGCAGTCTGCAATCTGCAGATAGATCTCAAAGATTGCAGAAGAAAATTTTATACAATCTGTAATTTTGCAGCAGGAAAAATTGGCACTTGCGATTTGGCGCTCTTGGCCCCAAGGACAGACAACACTTAAGCTCCTGTTCTGAAACAACAGGAGCTTCTTCACTAATTTACATCAACCTTGTCTTGACTTGTCTATCTTTTGTTTCCTTTTGGACTTCCAAAAATTTGTCTTCACTAATTTGCAAGATTGTAGTATAGAGGCTTGTGTATTTGCAGAAAGTATTTCCAAATTGCAGAACAAAATTTTGACTCTTCTGCAATATTCCAGAACACTGAAAAAAAAGTATTTCGACCACTGATCAGTTATGGGCTACCTTAAGAATAATGTTCAGTTGGCTGTCAGTTTGTACAAAAGACTTGCTCTATCAAGATCAATTGAATTTGAAGGTCTAATGGTTTGTACACAACCGAACAGACCAAAAAATCAAAATGTTTCTGACTCCAGGGAGCAACAATGTCGTTTGGGTAAATCACGGGGCATGCTTTATACATTTATCGAGAAACCTAACACAATACTAGACATTAAACATGGCAATCACTACATACGTTACTACGTAATCACATGTGCCCACCACCCAGGCACACAGCTCGCAAATTTTTCAGGGTTTACTTTGCAAACAGACTTAGGAATACATGAATAAGAGACTTTGTTTTTGACTTCAATGTTATCGCGATTTTACTGGACTTGAGATTAATTGAGTGTAAAACGGCAAATAGATACGGCACTAACTCTTAAACGTTACTACTTTACAGGGATCGGATCAGACTGTTCCAGACACCAGTCACCAGGCTAGTGACAGCTTGAAATTCATGTTTGGGAATACAGTATTCGAAATACCTGTCTGCAGTCTGCAATCTGCAGATAGATTTCAAAGATTGCAGAAGAAAAATTTATACAATCTGCAATTTTGCAGCAGGAAAAAATTGGCACTTGGGATTTGGTGCTGTTGTGAAACAGCAGGAGCTTCTTCACTAATTTACATCAACCTTGTCTTGACTTGTCTATCTTTTGTTTCCTTTTGGACTTCCAAAAATTTGTCTTCCAAAAATTTGCATATCATTCAATAGTTCATGCTTATAAACCTGCAAGATTGTAGTATAGAGGCTTGTGTGTTTGCAGAAAGTATTTCCAAATTGCAGAAGAAAATTTGGACTCTTCTGCAATATTGCAGAACACTGAAAAAAAGTATTTCGACCACTGGAATAGGTAACTGTGCCCTGGAAGCCAGGACTCGTTTTCAGGGCCGAAAGAGCCCTTCGCCCGCTGGTGTAAATTACCGCTACAGGGAGTCTAGCCTGGGGGGGGGGGGGTTGGGCTGGCCCTACAAACGAGTGATAGGCCAGCCGAACAAACCCCTCGGGCTCAACTCCCCGTAGTGGTAATTTAGATAGGCGGGCGAAGGGCTCTTGGCTGCCGAAGGAAAACGGCTAACGGCCCGATCAAAGCCAGATACTAGTTTTTGCATCCAGAGTAAGGTAACTGGTGCACCCAACCTAAAAATTGGGTGAACCAAAAACTTTTGGGTGCACCATATAAAATAGAATAACTAGAATGTTTGGGGAGAGTCAGACCCACCCATGTCAAAGAACCCACTGCACTTACTCTTCAAGCAGAGGTTAGGGTTTGGGGTTATTTTTGGCATGTTTTTAGACTTTTTTTATCAACAGCACTGGAACGTTTCTTTTTGGGTTGGGTGAAAAAGAAAAGAAAAATTTCTGTGCAAAAAAGAAACGGGGTTACCCTGATAAAAAAAAAAGTATAAAAAACATGCCAAAAATAACCCAAAACCCAAACCTCTGCTTGGAAAGTATGTTATGCCTAAAAAGGCGGTTTCCTGGTTATGCGAGATAAGTATATAGGGATCCATTACTTATACAATACAGTTTAACAAAGTAAAACTTGCATGAGAACACAGTTATTTTCTATGTCAATGTACAACCAAATGTACAACATTTTGTCACTCGGGTGTCAGATCAAGGAGCTAGAAAATGTTGATCAGCTCAAAACATTTAATTTTATTTATGTCCACCCCCAGAAAAAAGGCTAGGGTCGGCAGATTTTTCTTGGGTCGGTCAGAAAACAGAACATTTTTTTCCTAGGCCTAAGGCCACACCAACTTAATTTCTTGGTTAACGGATTCGCCCGCTTAATTTTTTTCTGATTTGCAAATAAAAATAAAAATTCAGAATCAACTGCAAATGCTCATATTTTGCCCTAAACAGTTGAAAACAGTCCTTTTCATCCTAGTTGTTGCAGTTATTCCATCTTTCATTATTTCAATGCAATGGTATCATTTAAAGTTCAAAATTCATTGTTTAAATTTTGAACCAGCCTGGTGCGTTGACTTCATGGCTCCTATCATGCCATTTTGGGCTATAACAGGATGCCTATAGGCCTGTTTTTATTTTTTCGTCCGCCCGCTCCATTATTTTTTTTAGAAAAATCCGTTAACCAAGAAATTAAATTGGTGTGGCCTATGTTATGCCTAAAAAGGCGGTTTCCCGGTTATGCGAGACAAACAAACCGCACAGTCACCGGGATGCCCGCCGCCAGGTTATGTCCTTGCACCGAGAGTGTTTGGGAGGATTCTACGGTTGCTATAGCGATGTGTCTCCCCCACAAAAAGAACTCTGCTACACTTAACTCTTGAAAAAGAGATTTATGTCACCTTCCATTCATATGTAATTGGCGGACAACAAGAAACCTTTGTAAGCCGCTGCCCCCCTTTTCTTACATCACATGCCACTGCACAGTGGTCGAAATACTTTTTTTCAGTGCTCTGCAATATTGCAGAAGAGTCAAAATTTTGTAAGTGCAATTTGAAAATAGTTTTTGCAAATACACAAGCCTCCATACTACAATGTTCTCAAACCAATAATATCTTTTTTACATCATATATAGCTTTGTAAATCTGTAGCATTACTGGAATTCTTTTAAGTTTAATCTATCACTCTTTTTAATTTCAGACTTTATAGATCCTTCTCCATAGAAAATTTATCATTTACATTTTACAGACAGGTACTTCGAACACTGCACT